AACAAGTTAAACTTGGCCAAAGTCTTTATACAAGCCCTACATCACTACAGAAATGGGAAAGAGAAAGAGAATCCAACTAATTTATCAACAACAAGCCAAGAACAATCTTGAGATCTCTAGAATATTTGAAAAAAGAGAGAAAGAGATAGAAGATGCAAGAAATTATAATGGAAGTAGGGATTACCTCCAAAGCTAGCAGATATAGTATGACACCCTAAAGAATGCCACATGCTATAACTACATTATTATGCATCCTTGAATATCCTGAGTCAAATTGGTTATCTTATTACACAAAATAGTTAAAGTAAAGCTTAAAAATGAATAGTTTAGAAGCTTTAGAAATATAAATATCCTTTTCATCTACTAAGGGTTAGGAGGTTGTCATCTCTTGAGTTTACAAAGCATGTATGTAGCGCACCGTAGATATTTTTACCTAACATGACCAAATACTTACCTTAATTAATTACCTCACGATACTCTAGAGATAGAAATATGAATTGATAAGCTGGAAAACTAGGAAGATGAGTACAATTAGCAAGAAATTTGAAAGTGAAAGACATGCCTTGATAAACAAATTTAAGAAGTGAAATACTTGGAGATTACTAAGCGGTAGTGGATACCTTAAGTTTAAGATTTGTGAATGCTTGAATGTGCCTATGCACTAGTTGAGGAGTTTAAAGATCCTAGACTAGTATGCTCATCATTTTAATACTATATATGTCATTTTGCTAAACATGATTAGTGCTAATTATGTAGGATTAATTAAGCTTAATCATGATTAATTGAGCTAAGCAAGACCCCGTTTGGGGACTTACCTTTTTAGCCAAAAAGCCAAAAAGTTACCTTTTTAGCCAAAAAGCCAACAACTCATACCAAAAAGTCAAAAATTCTCTTTTTTCTCTACTTTTTGCACATCATTTCGTAATTAGTCAAAAAGTCATTCCAAACATATAAGTTTTTTTTACCTACTTTTTTAGCCAAATAGCCAAAAAGTTACTAAATTAGCCTGTTCCCAAACGAGGCCTTAGTTAAACCTTGATTAATTAGAAGATTAATCTTGATTAATTATAACTAGGATTGATTAACTAAACTAATGATAAGATTAGAGAAATTTGGTGAAGCAAACACATAGGTGATGCATACACACACCACACTTTTGTATCGTCTTTTTTGTCTTCCAACCCTTTTGTCCCTAACTTCTTATTATATAAATCAAGATAGAAATTAGATTTTACTAGAAAAAAGAAGAAGAAGAAAGCAGAGAAACATAAAAGAGAATAGAAGAGAAGAGAGAAGAAAGAAATCTTAAGGAACTTAATCAAAAATTCATTTTTAATCATTTTTAGGTACGATTTCAACCCTAAATCTTGTAGTAATCCCTTCTACCACTTAAGATTGAGAATAAGTTGGAATTAATTAGAGGTAATAATGAAGTTATGGAAGAAAGAAGGAAAAAAAGGTGAATGGGTTGAAGAACAAGCTAGGTAATGAGAATTCTTGCTATTTTAGTCTTGGTTTTGATGTTCTTGTTGCATAGGAAGCTAAACCCTTTACTATATTACTATTTACTAGGCAATGACTTACCTCTCTCTTATATATATATATATATATGTAGGTGATAAAGAGCTCAATTACGAAGAGAAGTTTGATTAGAAGCCGGTCTTGTTACTTTGTTGTTTAGATCATGTAATAATGTAAGATAACAATCCAAGAGGAATGTATACTTTTATTTCATATAGTTATGTGCTGCTCTTAATGGATGTTTCAAATAAAATTAATATGAAAAAATAATGGCTTCTGCACTCAAAAATGGAAAGTTTGCCCTAATTATCCTAAGAGTAACTTGTTTTGAAAGTTAGTTTTTTGGTAGTCCGCGACTACTACTGGTCGACATTGCACTATCATATTTGGGGTGGGATGGGATCATGACATATAGGGCCCAAGCTGGTCACGAACTCTAACCCAACCTTCATTAAGCTAATGAAAATCTCTAGCTCCAAATCTTCAAGCCAAAGGATGAAGAAGAGACTCCAAGTGTATATGTGTACTAGGTATGTATAAAGCTCAAGGTTTGGCAACTAAAAGTAGAAAATTCTAGATCTTGAAAATTCACCAATCTCTTCAAAATTTTCCAACCTGTCACCCCTCTAAAGGGGAATGATTATATAGGCTTGAGTGGCTAGAATATGCCATTTAGATCATATTCCAAGATGCTAGGGGACGCCTCATGAGAAAACTGTTTAGCTGACATCAGTGGCGCTTCACCAGACAAGAATTTGTACGGTTGTCCCTAAATTGTTCATCATGTTTTCTCAAAAAAGTTCGTTGAAGCAAAAAACTCTGAACGTGCTTCTCCGAACCAAAGTTGTCCATCGTGTTTCTCAAAAGATGTCCGATCGACCACTTACCTGTCCGGCCATACTTTTCTTAGAAAGTTTTTTCATCTTCTCACTCATTCTAGCTTTCTAGGCTCACTTTTCTAAAAATAGATCAATTCTTTTGGAAAACACAACGCCAGAAATAGCTGAAATGAATGAGAAGGTATCACTCGTCTTAAAAAAAATTATTTTGAAAATAAAAGGTTTTAAGGTCTGAAAAACTCTTTGACCAAAATAGGTGTAGGAATATTTGTATCTCTTCATCCACAACTAGTGCTGCAATTGATATTTGCTTTCATCATTGGGAGCTCTTCATGGAGTACCCAAGTCTTAAGACTACTCAAAAATGGGATATCTACAATAGGGTTAGAATTACTTAAGGTGTTCACAGAGAAAAAATAAAAATTATATTTAAAATAGTGTCTTAAAAAATGGGGTGCCTAACAAAATTGTTTGGGTGCCTTGTCATCACAATTCTAATTTCATGCAACATCCAAAAATGCACCACTAATGTGCATTTGGCGTTTTTTAGTGTTGTTTATAGGTTTATTTATAGAAAAAATTGGTAAAAAATCCAACATAGGGAGGTTATAAGGCATTAGGTCTCATGAGTCTTTTTTTTTTTTTTTTTTTTTTTTTTTTTTTTTTAATTTTTTTGTAAGAACTACATTTTATTATTTTGGAGGACATTTTGTTTTTAATTTTACATCTTAATCTATCTATTGATTTTTTTTAACTATCTATTCAAATATTTTATTTGTATAACTTTTTTGACTATCTATTCAAATATTTTTTATCTGTTAAATTTTTTTGACTACCTGTTCAAATATTTTCTTATATGTTTTATTTTATCTGTACAAATATTCCGTATCTGTACAAATTTTACCTGTCCAATTCACCAGGTTTCTTTTTCATATTTGTTGAAATTTCCCAAATGAACTTTTCTTATTTCTAACATATCTGTTGAACACAAAACTAGAAAATAGAGTATGATCTGTTTTAATGGACTTTAGGTTTGATATGTTACTAGTGAATGAGGAGGTTTAGGATTGAGGACACAACAATGGTAGCATCGAGTAAGGCAATGTCGATCGGCTAACTCAGATCCTGAAGCTTCTTCACTACCATGAAGAGATTGAAAACTAAAATGATAAATCCTAGAAATCAAAGCACAGTTCAAAAACCCTAGAACTGGATTGTCACCGCTATCCTTCATCGTCGTCCCCTCATCTCTTATCAAGATCTCGGTGAAACGATACCTCACCGCCATAATTCAATCGCAAAGCCAAATTCTTGTTGTTGTCACCCATTCCGTGATCTCATTTTTGCTGGTGTTGTCGACCTTTTTTATCTACCATGACCCCTCTGTCAAAACCCTTCCCAATAGTCGAGTCACCACCGAGTCAATCTATGTCACCAAGATCACCATTGTGGAGGTCTAGATTGACATCGGAAGTTAGTTCAAGATCGATGAAAGAGATCTAGAGAGAGGGAGAGAAAGTGGTGTTGGTGGTGGTGGTGGTGGTGGTTGGTTATGTTTGGTTCTCATAATCTTTTTTTTTTAAAAAAATAAATAAATAAATACAGGGCGAATTACGCTAATAGTCCTTATAGTTTGGAGCTCATGTTACTTTGGTCCCTGACTTTTTGATTGTGACACATTTGACCCTGAATTTTGAATCTTGTTCGAAATAAGGATAATTGAAGATACCATTGCTTAATTTCAAGGGCAAAATCGTCAATTTGATAAAATATAAACTAATTTGACAAAAATAAATGTCAAAAAAATATTTTTAAATTTTTTAAAATTACTTCTACCCACCAAAGATAAAATTATGCAAAATTGATAAATCTTTTAAACATTTATTTATTTATTTATTTTTACGAAATTAATTTTTATTATGTGTTTGGATAATGATCATGTAATGGATGATTGTTAGAATTTTAATGTGTAATCGATATATTTAATATATGAGATATTTTTAGTTTTGAATTTTTTGATTTAATGGATTGGTTTAATAATGATATTAAAGTTATCGTCATATTTGACTTTTAAAAAAATAGAAACTAATTTAATGAAAATAACAACTATCAATTACATGATCATCATCCGAACATATAATAAAAATTAATTTGATAAAAATAAATAAATAAATGTCTACAAGATTTATCAATTTTACATAATTTTATTTTTAGTGGGTAGAAATAATTTTTAAAATTTAAAAATATGTTTTTGACATTTATTTTTATCAAATTAGGTTAAATTTTATCTACTTGCCCTTAAAATTAAGCAATGGTATCTTCAATTGTCCTTATTTGAAACAAGATTCAAAATTTAGGACCAAATATATCACAGTTGAAAAATCAGAGACCAAAATGATACAAGCTCCAAACTATAGAGACCGTTATCATAATTTTGGTGAAAAAAATGAAATATATTGATCATTTTCATATAGTTTTATCCTTTTGGGGGGCAAATATAATTTTTTAAAATTCAAAAAAAAAAATAGTTTTCATTTTTATCAAATTAGTTTATATTTTTTTGGGGAAAAAAAAAAAAGGTTAGAGAGGTTTTTGAAATTAAAACCAAATATAGCCTTAATTATTGAGAAACATGGATGAATATTTTTCAGTTCTACATTTTGATAACGTTTTGCAAACAATTGCAACACACAAACAAGCCGTTTACACACCAAGCTGGCATCCCAGCCCGAAATAAGAGACTCAAAATTCACAACCCAAAATTAGCTAATCTCTCTCAATTTGGCTAATCTCTCTCTTTTGTCTCTCAAAACTAGGTTGTCCCTCCTACCATTTCTCTCCATCTTCCATTTTTCACACTAGAGTTTTGTTCGCATTGAGAAAAGAAAGCCTCATCATCTGGTAGTCCCCCCACCGGAAAGGCAGCCGAGATATCTCACACCCACCCAAAAAAACACCACCAAACAATAATTAAGAATATCCCACCCCCACCCCACACCCAATGAGCAACAACAGCAATAACAATATTAATAATAACAACAATAACCATACCAACAATACCAGCAATACCAGCACCAGCAAGGTTAACGGAACCCAAGCTTGCGCTGCATGTAAATACCAGCGCAGGAAGTGCGCCCCTGACTGCATTCTCGCCCCTTATTTCCCTCACGACCGCCACCGCCAGTTCCTCAACGCCCATAAATTGTTCGGCGTCAGCAACATCACCAAAATCATCCGCAACCTTGACCCTCCCGACAAGGACCAAGCCATGCGTACCATCATTTTCCAGTCTGACGTCCGCGCCTCTGACCCTGTCGGTGGTTGTTATCGCATCATCCGTGACCTCCAGCGTCAGATTGACTACACCCAAACTGAACTCGTCATCGTCCTCCAACAGCTTGCCATATGCCGTGCTCAGGCTGCTGCTGCGGCCTCTGCTCATCTTCAACCTCAGACACCGTTGCCTCCTGATGTCGATGATTCGTTGACGGTTAATTGTGATAGTATTATCAATCCTGAGGACCCTTTGAGCCATGTTCGTGATGATTTTCATGAAACGCGTGAAGAAGAAGAATATTTAGTACTTCATGACGACCACGATGACGATGACAACAACAATAATAATAATAATAACCATGTTGTGCCATTGCATGATATTGCTGCATGGGCCATGCACGATTCCATGTCCTCTTCCTTGCATGACAAGCAAGCTTTTGTGGACGATTGTAAGCCGACTTTTCTTGACATTGGTGGAGAAAGACTGGAGCTCAAGTTCGATCATGAAGAAGAAGCAATTGGACAGAGGTTTGTACCATTCATATTATGATCAGATCAACCCCTAGCCTAGGCTCTAAGCTATTCTTCCCATTAATTAATTTCGATATTCTTAATTATTGGGGAACGTTTTTATTATTGGAAAAGTCTGGTGAGAAGGAAAAGTTGTCACCAAACTTGTCATGATGTTTTTTTCATTTTCCTTTTTCTTTCATTTTTTATTTTTATTTTTAATTTAAAGTGAGATGGCCCCATCAAATTTGTGTTTGGATGACAAATTCTTAATGAAATTTTCGTTCTATGTAGAATGACTCTTCTTATTGGGACTTGAAAATGAAACCAGACATATCAACAATGAAATAATTGTCCCCATAGACAATAGATTGTTTATTTTCATATAGCTTTTATGGAGAATTTCCAACGAACCTTTGTAGCCATTAATAATGCTTTTCTTCCCTACTTGTGTCGGCAATGGCAAAGCCTAAAAATTAATTCCGAAGGCAACTAGTAATCACAATTCTGAAATTTTTTTTTTTCTTTTTTAATTTTTATAGATAACAACAATAAGATGATATGATATACATTTGTTGAGCTAACAAGAAAACACACCCCAAAAAAAAAAAAAAAAAAAAAAAAAAAAAACAACCAAACCAACACAGTTTCAAAAAAAAAAAAAAAAAAACCAACCCCAAAAAAAAAAAAAAAAAAAATAGTAACAAATTTTAATTCATAAATTGTTGGAGATGATAAGAATTTGATCAATAACTCTTTTGCATATTTTTCATTAGGTACACAAACTTAAATTTGGAAATGTAAACGAGTCAAATTGACTTGATATGTGAATTGTTTGAGTTTCATTTTAAAACCTAACGAGTTTAAAAATGTTATCAATTTTGTTTAACTTTTGAATGATATAAAAGACCTTCATTTGAGACGAGTTTGAGTAACTTGACTTTCTATGTAGTTCTATAGTTCATATAAATTTATTGAACCAAATTCATAAAATTAGTGAGTTTCAAAAATATATTAAAATTAGGTTCATTTATATAATAAATTGATCTCAAATAAAATTTTAATGAACTAAAGACAAATCGAATAATTTGTTTCATTTTTTATTGGATGTAAAAACCTTCCAAATCAAGTAAAGAAAGCAATGGGCACAGTGACTTCATGATCTATCTTAATTAATCTTGAGCTTTAAAAAATAAAAAATAGAAAAAGGTTAGAAGGGATTATTTACCGTAATAGCAAATATTGTGATCAAGAAAATTCAATATGTCACCAAGTATAGTGAGTCGAATACTGAGTTATAATAAACAAATTAATTGATTGAAATAACAAAAACAAAATAACGACAATAAGTCCATAGCTAGATGTCCACATTTTTGGGTTTATAATCAGTAATCTAAATTTCGTTGGCTCATTTCAGTTTTTACATTTTCCATTTGTATATGAAACTGAAATCACTGTTCAATATTGGCATCTTACAGTGAGGAGGGCATTAATTCAAAGGAAGAAAAGGAGGGTATACTAAAAGATGAGATTGGGTCTTTCATTTGGAAAGATGACAAGACCTTATTAAAAGAAGATGAAGATGATATAATTGCCTCCGTCCAGCGTGAATCTCAAGATGATCATCATCTCAACTATGCTGCCACTTTTTTCACCCTCACAAATTGTACCAGTTAGATCATTATTTATTTTATTTATTGATTAATATATACCAAATTAACAGATTGTATACCCAACCTCTGTGCCATTGCTTTTTGTTGTCATTAGATTTGGCTGACAATTACATAGACATGATCAATGGAAGCATTATCCTCCATTTTTTTATTTTTCTATTTTCCCTCTCTAATTCCAGCCATTTCAACAAACAATATTTATTATGAAAATCACGGCATGATATCATATTTTATTTATCATGTGATATGTTATTATTATATTTTTTTGATTAGCGAAAGAATAAAGAATTTATTGATATACCTCGAAATTACAAGATACATCAATGGAGGAGAGTGCAACACTATTGCATTAGAGGAGGGCCGGTCCTGCCCTAAGGCAGGTAAGGCTTGTGCCTTAGGCCCCATATTTTGGCCCAAAAATAGGGCTCCCAAATTTAAAAAATTGTTATAGGTTCAACTTTTTTTTTGGTTTTAAGATCAATTTAAAGGGCCCCAAATGTTTTATTGGGCCCATATATAATTTAGCCCATATTTATTTATAAATGTGTTTGGCCCATATTTGTTGAAATGAAAATATATAAATAAATAAATAAAAAACAATAGGGCCCCTAAATTTGGTAAAACATATAAACATATATAACATAGGTCCCCTAAATTTGGCCCAAAAATAGGGCCCCTAAATTTGGTAAAATATTATAGGCTTAATGTTTTTTTTTTTTTGGTTTTAGGATCAATTTAAAGGGTCCCAAAATATTTTTTTGGGTCCATGTATGATTTACTCCATATTTATTTATAAGTGTAGTTTGATCCATATTTATTAAAATAAAAATATATATTAAAAAAAAAGTGTTTGGGCTCCAGAAAAATAATACATACAATATATGGGCCCTATTTTTTTTATTTTTACCTTCTTTATCTATTAGATTTTAGTAGAATAAATAATTTTGCTCAAATTTTTTTACCTAGGTCTTTATCAATTTTAATTGAATAATTTTTTCTTAATTTTTTTGTTCTAATTTTGTTTTATTAAATTATTTTATTTATAATTTTAATGATTATATGTGTAAGTAAATTTTTTTATGGTTACAAATGAATAAAAAAAATTGTTGATGAATTTTTTTTCAATATAAAAGGGCTCCAATTTCCGAAATTCGCCTTAGGCCCCGACGAACTCAGGGCCGGCCCTGCATTAGAGGCGAGCACCGCTGACCCCTATACTACGTTGGCACAAGCAGACCAGCCACATCACTTGCAGGCACAATTCACCCAAACAGCAAAGGAAGGAAAACAGAACAGGCGACAAAGAAAAACAAAGAAAATGAGGCAGCAGAATCACCAAGGGCCATATATGATCTGTGGTAAGTGAGTGACGAAGTCGTGGATAGAGTAATCAACAAAGTTGGAATTAGCTTTGTGCTATTTTTAGATTATGGATTTAAGTAGGGATTTGGAAAGTGAAATGAAATAAATAAATAAATAAATAAAAATTCTTGACATGTGAATGAAATCTAAATATATTTCACACATTTTTTCTTTTTCCTTTTTCCTTTTCAAATCTCTACCTAAATCCATACTCCAAGCATGGCTTTAGCTTGATGAGATCTGTGCCGACATGGAATTTACCTCACATGTTAGTACTTCGTGATCAAGTAAGAACTACTGTGAACGGCGTCTTATGACCTTAAAACACAAGAACGGTGAGTTTGCCGACTGTAGACAATCTATTTTGTACTAGTCTTGAGACTTGGGCACTTCCTTTTGAGTTTCCAATGATGAAGATGAGAGATGTTAATCTTTGTAAGTTTCGCGTCAAGAAGCCTAAAGATCAAGCTTTAAACCCTCTAACGACCTATTTGGGACAAAATGTTTTTCGACCAAAATAGAAACCTCTTTCAAAACAAGTTTTAGTGGTGCACCTCTAGACGTTACCACAATATTCTAAGGTTCATATTTTCAAAAATATCTATTTCTCCTTTCAATTTAGGCTAATCTGCTTTTGTTGATATGACGATATGCTTACTGGCTGGTCGGACACCATATGATGGCCAACTACAAAAACACTCAGCCAATCGCCAGAAAGCTCGGCCGATTGAATGTTCTAGATACAGAATATTTTCAGAAATTTCAGCCTGTTTTGCTTATTTACCACAAATATCTCAGATATTTATGACCTTAGCTCTATATAAAGAGCTTGACAACTCATTTCAAAGGGTTCAAAAACTTGCCCAAGGGATAGGAAAGCTTGGGAGCTTCCCTTTCTTCTTCTCTTACTTCCTACATACCACATTCACCTTTTAACACTATATCCTCCATTAAAGCTTGATCATAAGCTCTAGATAAAGGACTTGGGACATAAAAGAACACGCTTAAAGGAGCTTGAGGGACCTTAAAGGAAGTTTGTGAACAAGAAAGGCTCATCCTCTTTTGGAGGTAAATCCATAGCGTCTTTGATCTTATTCTCATATTTTTTATTTATTTTTTTATTTTTCAATTATGTGATTGTTGTAAGTCCTCATAAATGTGGAGGGAGTAGTTTTAGCCACCCATCCATTGAGTTGATAGCCATTTCTTTACTTTATTGCTTTCCTTAGGTTTAAATTCATAGTTGTTATGTATTTTGGATCCTTATGGATATGATTGGGAGTAGTTTTAGCCATCCATTCACAAGTTCAATAAGTAGAGTAGCTTTTCTTGTTATTGCACCCCTTATCTTCTCCAATCCTATCTCTCAAGTGTGTCAATCTATTTGTTTCAACTTCTTACTCAATGACAATGAGTGTTAGGGGCTGTTCCATGGAATTGCTTGGGTGATCCATGGGATTTGATGTTGACAAGTGATGCCTTTCCCCTTTCATTAAGTATTTTGGAAGCAAAATAAGAGATTGTGAGTCAAAGGAAGTTGAAACCACCATTCTCAATCATTTGTGAACATAGAAATGAGTGTTATCATCATCCTTGTTCTATGACTAGATGAGGAGTTTTCCATGAGTTTGACGAATATCTTGTTTTAGTAAGCAAAGCTTCCACCAAGAAATGATTTGCATTAATTTATGCTCTCCACTTAATAGCGTGGATTTGAGTATTGAGTTGCCCTTATTTACAAAGAGAAGATGTAGGTTCCTATCCATTTCTTGGGCTTGAATTTGTTTTTTATTTTAATCCATTTAATTTGTCTATTTAGAAAAATATCTATTATATATATCTTGTTTTATCATTGTTGAGGGCTTTGGCCTATCTGCTTCTTTCCCAAATGATCCCTATCGATAGAGGAGGCATAGAGGTTGAGCATCTCCCAAAAAGTGCCCTTTTAGCTTCTATCCTGGAGTTCTACACTGACCTATTCCCCAATCAGAGGAGAAATTTAGCCGGCCACTTTCTGGTGCACCCGACTTAATTTGTGTCTGGTCGATCATCCTTCCCTAAGAACAGAGCAGACAGTTTCTCTGGAATGCTCCATTGGGCAATTGTAGAACTCCTAGATGGTTTCTTTTCTTTATTTGGTCTGATTTGTTAGATTCAACAGTAATTCGACTGAATCAATTCATTATTGTAATAATCTCTCT